GCCAGAACAATTATGGCAAATTATTGAATATTATTGAGGAGCTCGGCAGAGACATTCGTCTGTCATATGCAGGCAGCCGCAGCGCTGCCGACAGGCTGAAGAATGGCATTCAACAGGCTAGAATTGCCGTGCGGGATTGCTTGCACGAGACGCAGCACAATGCACAACAATGATCTGCCGACATGAGTTAGATAGCGATTAGATTACTTGTAGCTTTTTATCATTTCATGAGACGTTGCTTTGTACGAACTGCTTAAATTTGAATTGCGGTATTAACACTACATGATATATACAGTAGCGGACGTACATGCATAAATCGAGCATTTTATTTCTAGCAAAAACAAACCTAGACTGCTATCTTTTCATTCTAATAGGTCTCTTTTTTTTGAAGATATGATAGTGACTACTCAGCGCTAAGACAAGCGCAGCGATTCGATCTCGATTTCTCAGCTCGGTTCCTGCACGTACGTCGTTCGAACAATTGTGGCTGACAGTTTCCTATTTTTAAGTTACAATTTAATACATAGAAACGGGAGGGACGGTACCAATTTGTATACACGCACTGAACTACTTAGAGAATATTAGAGTCTTAGTTTATATTTTATAAAAAAGAAACCAGAAAAAAATTATATCATGATTTTTGTTAAAACTCGCATATGCTGCAAATTTTTAGTATACGTTTTGAGTGAGAAAAAGAAAAGAATGCAAAGTAAAAGCTTTTCAAATATGTACCTAATGGAAAGTATAATCCCGTAAATATTTCCCGCAATATATCGTTAAATAAATAAAAATTTTGTATACAACACTGACATCTCGCTCTTCTTTTCCTGACTTGGCGTTTGTATAGTACAATGAGTCGAAAAATGAAAAAAGTTCAAAAAATCGAAACATAAGAGATGTATCTTAAGACATTGAAGAGAATGCTGGAATAGAAATGGGCAATAGGCTAAAAATCAATTTGGAAATTGACCTTTAGGTAAAAAAAAAATTTTTTTTTTCAAGTCTAAGGCTATTTCAAATCGATCTTAAAAAATCGTTTCTTGTTTATCTAAAAGACAATTTCCAAACAATTTTTAACGTACGTCGTTCATTCCTGTGCTACAGCAGCTGAATTTCATTGATGTCAATAAAACAAATTCTTATAGAGTAATTATCCTCAAAAAGTCGCTTAAAAAATGCACTAACAAAAGATCAACGTCTAATGGAAGGAAATGATTTAAAAATGTATGGGCATCATTTTTACAAATGTATTAATATTTATACTTTATATACTAAACGAAGTATATACAGGATGTCCCGAAATTTTTTGCCCAACGCTCTTGTGTAGATAGGGCGGACTAAACTGAGTCGAAAATTTACGAAAAGTTTTCTACCATTTTGCAATTTTCGCAATACAAATTATTAATTATTAAAAACAAGATATTAATTATTTAAAATCACTGAATATTGGTCCTCAATCTTAAGAAAACTCTACGAAAGTGTATGGAAATGTACACATTACACACACGCACACACACACACACACATAAGTATATTTTTATTAGAGCACAGATTTAAAAAATACTATTAGATTTACAAATAAGTTCTGACCTCTCCAAATTAATCAACTGTAACTTTACTATAAATTCAAATCTTTCCTGTTATTTTCGTAGTATCAACCTTTGATAAACAAAAACTACATATGGAAACCTTGCTAGACAACATTGGCATGTTCCAAAATATGCTGCCAGTGCTGAAAATGTACAGTATACGTAACATAAACGATAGATTTGCAGTTCTGGCAGTGAATTTTGGAACATAGCTCATAATTTATAATCTCACAAATCTTAAAAGTGCATTTTCGCTGCTCAAACTGAGGATCGATTATGTATCTCGAAATGAGGTGAAAATTACAAAAGTGAACAAATGCACCAGAATATTCATAATTTAATTGGTCAATATCTAGTACATTGCCCACTTTTGTAATTTTCATCTCATTCTTAATTTTCAAAATACACAATCGAATCCCTGGCTGTTTCAGCGACAAAAAAGATCACGTGACGACTTTGTCGCGGAACTATTAGAGCGACAATTTTATACATAAAAAGGGCAAGAAGCGTTAAATTTGACATTTAAGCACAGATTTGACATATTATGACATACGATTACGGCCAATATAAACGCTCCCTAAAGCCTATTCTACAATAGTCATAAGCGTAGTTGTAAGCGGTTATAGTAAGAATTGACTAATCACAATCAAATATTCTCCTCACATTCGACTTGATTGGTCAATTCTCACGCTTACGATTATTGTAGAATAGATTTAATGGGTCTGTTCTACAATACAGTCTCAAGACGTAAACCGTAAGAAATTGGCCAATCATGTTGAATATGACAAAAATAAACGACTATGATTGGTTAATTTCTTGCAGTTTACGAATTGCTATTCTATTGTGTAATGCATGGTCTACAATAGACAGTAGCAGTAGTGGATTAAGAAATAGGCGTAGAAATCGATCAATCATAGTTGAATGTGAGAAAAAGAATGAACTATGATTGGTTGATTTCTACTCCTACTCCTTCCTAATCAATTACTGTTACTGCCCATTGTAGACCGTGTATTACAGGCCTAAAGTCTATTCTACAATAATCGTAAGCGTAGTTAATGGCTTCTGTATACTAGACGCGAAAACATTTGCCACGCGGCAAAATGTGATGCGGTAGTCAATAAGCTTACAGCTTCTTCTAATGTGTTCATTTGTTACCGCGTCTTATCTATTATTCCGCGTCCAGTGTGTAGGAGTAAGTGCTTGTAATTATAAGAATTGACCAACCAAATCAATGTGAAGGGAATATTTGACTGTAATTGGCTTCTCTCAAATATCATGGCCTAGTTTGGCCCGTTTCTACCAACGCAGTTTAAAGAGTTAATCCCTAATGAGACATGTGGTTAATCAATGTTTAGCAAAATATTGGTTTCAACCAACGATTTGTTCAAATTTAAATTTATGTAAACTAAGTTCAATTTAAACCGATTTTGGCTGTTTAGGCTTTTTAACTGTCAAGTTAAAAATGTAACTAGCTAATCTGATACAAAAAAGTCCTTTTAATCTACATTTTTCAGATATGGCAAATTTATTTAATCTTATGTTGTCATCCTCCAATGATGAAAATAATAAAGAACAACAAAGAAGACAAAGGAAGTTTAAACAACAATTTATAAATTATTTTGATAAATTAGATCACATAGAATTTAAAATGTGATTTCGATTAAATAAATAATCAATATTATTAATATTAGAAGAGATAAGAGAAGAGTTAAAATTTGTTACTAACCGATATGTTAAAATTATTGTATAATTAAATTTTTAAGCATTAAGAAAACGAATATATACAAGATCATTTATAGATATAATGGAATATCTCCTATGGAACAATTATTGTTAACATTTCGCATTTATGCTACCGGATTCCTTATAACAATGGGTGATTTTTCTGGTGCAAGCATAACATCTGCGCATTACATAGTTCATAAGGTCAGTGCAGCTATTGCTGGCCTATAATCTCGTTACATTCACTTCCCAAGTATCAAACAAGAAATAAGGCAAGAACAATTACGTTTTTATAATGCTCGCTTTCCAAGGTCATTGACTGCATAGATTGTACACATATACGTGTCCAGTCATTTGGTGAGTTATTATAAGGATATATTATTTTAATTTATCTATAATATTTATTATTATATTATATTTATTTTTGATTATTACAGGTGGAGAAAATGCTAAATTATTTCGTAATAGAAAAGGTTACTTTTCTTTAAATGTTCAAACAGCGTAATAGCAATCTTCCATCGGCAAAAAATTTTCTTGTCTTTTTTAAATTATCCCAACAGTTTTTCAAAACTTCAGAATTTCGACATTCATCAGAAAATTTACTATTAAATGAGTGTTTTATAATTTTCCAACATTTTTCTGTGTCTTTTGAGATTACTGAGTCAGATTCCTTATTTTCAAGAGTGTCTTTATATTGTACTAAATTTATTAATATCATTTCCTTTGCTTCGGAAAAATTCCGAGCACGTTTACGTTGTAATTTATTTCCCATCTTCATTCATTATGTTACTTGATGCTTATTATAACACTACGAAAACAATATCAAAAAAATATGTATTTTGAGGTATGCGCCTTATTTCTATTAGAACAAACCAATCAATATTCGATATTCTTAAGTTTCCTAAAGTTATGTCGCACAAATTATAAGTTTAGCTAAACGTTCTAGATGGAATGTTCGTAGGAATCATTCAATTAACTGAGGGTTCGGTCAATACAATGCTACGATGAATTTTACAAACTGACTAATTAAAAAAACTCTTTGAAGCGTTTTTTAATTAGTCAGTTTGTAAAATTTTTTCTTCTAATTGGTCCATCAAACGCTTTAAAGCATTTGTAGCTAGACTTTGACCACAGCCTGAGAGTCACGAAGTAATAAGGAGATCAAATTCAAGGTCTTAGGGCCATTCCACACAACTTGCATAGCCGCATAAACATATGTACAAAGAAAATCATCCAATCGTATTTTACGTTTGTCTTTATGACAGAAATGTGATTGGATAATTTTTTGTATGCATATGGTTATGCGGCTTGCAAGTTGTGTGGAATGGCCCTCAAGGGCTCCATCCAATAAAAGGAACAGAGAACAGAAGATAAGAATTTCAACCTATCAGAAATCATGTATTGTGGAATACACCGTTTCTAGGTTGAAATTCTCTATCTCTCTGTTCCCTATTCCTTTTATTGTGCGGAGCCCCTGAAAGTGGGCTCGAAACATTGTAAAGCTAGAAACATACATGAAAAGCACAGGCAATAGGAACAGGGAATAAAAGATTTCAACCTATTAGAAAGCGTTTATTCTATTGGGTCATCTAAAAAGTATCCGCGGTACTTTGTCACTAAATATATGACCATCAACACACATCTAGTGACAAAAAACCGCGGATACTTTTTAGATAACCCAATATTATTCATAGTTTCTAAGTTGAAATCTCTTATTGTGTTACAACCAAGTGACAGTACTTCCAACTTTTCCCGCAAGGCGTGATGGCATTAAAATCACATCTGCCGAATTTTCCATGGATTTTCCTACATCGGAAAGCCTATTTTTTTCGTGACCGGTCGCTTGAGTTTAATCTTTGACTTCCTTCTTATTATTACTCCACGTGTCAACATCCATACTACGGGCTTACCAGGTCTCGTCTGATCATTACTCCACGTTGAGAGTTATCTTAACCCAGGTTTCACTAAACTATAATTAAAATCAATATTGGTAGAAACGGCCCAGAAGAGACGAAGGGAGATTGACTAATAGGAGTATGTATAGTACATATTATATTAATATAATATTTACGTTCACTTGACTTGTGTTTCGATAGAATGATATATATATAGTAAGTCAAGTAAGAGCGTGGTCGACCAGCGTGTTGACTATTTCATGTTATTAGCCTTGAGGTTCGAACAGTTTCGTACGATATATCTAAATCTGCTTCAATTTTGCTTGTCCTTGATGCAGTGTTAAGCCAGGATTCCGCGAAAACAGATTCACTATTTTTTTATCGTCTTTTTTGACCACTTTGCATATCGAGCCACGTTCCGTAAATCATCGACATTTTTTGCCACATTATATTGCTGCACCCACTTCTGTACGAATAATTTCGATTTTTTCATATATTTAGCAGCCGCTAATTGTGACATTTTTGGGAGAGTACAGAGGAACACAGCTTCATAACGTGATGCGTATTTGGTACTCATGGCGCTTAATGCGATTCTCTTAAGAAAGTTCAATGACAACTGAATCTTTCTTGATAGTGCCTCAAGAACAAAGGTGTCCTCTATGGATTCATGATAGATTTAGGGCGATATCTTTTATTAGCTTTGATTAAGGCCGACCACGATCTTACTTGACTTACTGTATTTGTATCAACATGACTTCAATGAAATGAATTCAATGGACTTACTTCTCACATTAAATTAAACTTTAAAGATTAGTATACTGCGATCGATCTTTTTGCTTCGCTCGCTGACGTTTCATAGGCCTGATAGATTATCGATTGTTTCTTAAGGTTATTGTAAAAGATAAATGGAAAACGCGCAGCCTCTTTCCTCTCTCTCAAAGATGACAAAACAACGCAAAAACGTGGGAGTAACAGCGAAAATTATGGAACCGCTGCTGACGGTGCCGGAGCCGAGAGTTTCTCAACGCATCGCATCAATATCTTCCGTGCCTGCTCAATCAAAATACATCAAGTTGCTGCGAGTCATAGAGCAGCTAGGTCGCGATCTTAAACTTTGTTACACCGGCGATAACATTAACAAGACATTAACTAAAGTTGAACGCGACATTGCAAAGGCATGCTGTCTGATCCAACAATGCCGTGCCGAGGCTACGAAAAGTGCCAAGAAAACGTGCCAATAACATTGCGTGTTTTTATAATGAATTATCGACATTATTTACGTAGAAAACTCCTCATATTGATGCAAACATATATTTTTAAAATAGTACTTATTGCATTGTGCAGAAACTTGTATTATCAACAGTATTCATTCTGTTTTGAAAATCAATCCATATTTTAGATCCACTCAAAATTCTTGATAACATACACTAAAACTGAAATACAAAGATTATAACTTTAATGTAATCCTTTTCTAAGCTATTCAGCTTTAAATATCTTTAAATCTTTTATCCTTTGTGGAAAAAAAAATTTTAATGACATTTATATGAGGAAGAGAGTTAATATTAAATCTTATATTAAAATATATCCTACAAAATGGATAATTAACTAATGGATTGTTACACGAAATCATGTAGGATTTCTATCAACTGAGCTAATGTTCTTGAATATCAAGAATTTTAAATTTGTGTCTGTATACTTAAGCAAATATTCCATGTATTTTCTATACAAGTCTATAGAGCCATTACATAGCTCAATCTAAAGCAATCTATAATCAAATGAATGATTGTTCTGCTACCTCTTGCATATTGTAAGAAATTTTGAGTGGAAAGTATTATCCATTGTGATAGAAACACAATGATTTATTGTAATGTGTTATTGTTATAGGTAAAGAATAAGCTGAAATGATAATTATAATAGTGGCAATAGATTCTATTGAAAACTAATGGAAGAATATTTCTATCAAATATTTCAATTTGGCTAAATTTAATTAAATAGATAATTAGCTATTTAATTAAATTTAGCCAAATTGAGATATTTGATAGAAATATTCTTTTAATTAGCTACTAAACAACTTTCTTTTTTTTACACAACAAATAATAATATCGAAAGAATTAAATACTGCCAAAAAATAGTCCTGTAATAGTGATATTTTTTATTATTTATTTTAAGCTCTTGGTTTATAATAGACTTTATATAGATAATTCATATAGATTTTTCTTTTCTTAATAATATTTATTTATTAATTTAAAATAATACAATTTGTGAAAATAGTGATATACATTTAAAGCCTTAACATATGTATATAATCCACAATTATAGTACAAATTATAATACAAATAGTACAAATATAGACACAAGATGCGTATAAGGTCCTACGATAAATATAAGAGAAATGCCATAAAAAATGGTACAAATGTGTTCCTATATTTAAATTTTGTGTAATATCTATAATGAAATAAACATTTTTTTTATTGAAAAAGAAAAGAGCTGTGTTCATTGCAAATATTTTTCTTTCAATTTGATTCACACATATTGGATATATTCTCGTTTCTCTCTTGTTTACATCTTTTCACTATATATATTTAATTACAATTAATGTGCTGCTTTCAATACTATCTTTTACATGCATACATTGATTATGGTCAAGATTTTTTGATTATAATTAAGAATAATCATTGCTATCTTGTTTAAATTTATTATATTAGGTGTTGGAATTAATTCGTAGCGTTTTTAATGAAAGAATGTTATTTATTTCACATGAGCATTAAAAAATACATTAATGAAAGTACTTCCCATCACTTGTAAAACGCTACGAATTAATTCCAACACCTAATATGTAAGTTTATTATTGGATATGGGAAAAAGTTCGTGGCGTTTTTCTCACTAGATGACATTAAATGCTCAGCACTTAACTACTAATCGCATCGACACTAGACGTGCGTTTAAAAAGTGACATTTCAATCTTTGTTTTGAGTCGAAAAAGATTGAAATCAGTGAAGTGGATCGATTATTTTATTTTGAAAATGGAAATAAATAAGGAAAAAATTCGTTACATTTTGCAGTATTACTACGATAAAGACAAGAACGCTGTATAGGCTTGTGAAAAAATTTGTACTATTTATGGTGAAAATACTCTATTAAAATCAGCAGCACGGAAATAGTTCACTCGTTTTCGTTGAAAATTTCGATGTGAAAGATGAACCTCGCTCCGGTCGACCAATCACTGAAAAATCCGATGAAATCATGGAAAAAGTCGAGCGCGATAAGCATGTGAGCACTGTGGAGATTGCCAGGGAACTAGGCATCGACCACAAAACAGTTTTAAATCATTTACACAAAAAGAAGCTCAATGTTTGGATTCCTCACAAGTTGAGTGTTAAGAACATGATGGACTGAATTAACATTTGCGATACGCCACTAAAACAGAATAAAATTGAGCCATTTCTGAAGAGAATGATAACTGGTGATGAAAAATGGATCATGTACGACAATCGAATTCGCAAAAGATCGTGGATAAAGGAAGGAGAGAAGACACAAGCAATCGCAAAATCTGGATTGACGATGAAGAAAGTAATGTTGTGTGTGTGTGTGGTGGGATTGGAAGAGAATCGTTCACTATGAGCTGTTATCGCACGATTAAACAATTAATTCCGAACTCTACTGTGAATAACTGGAGAGATTACAACAAGCGATTGAGAGGAAGTGGCCAGAATTAAGCAATAGGAGGGGTGTCTTCCACGCTCAATCGCACACATTTTTGATAACTCGGCAAAAATTGTGAGAGCTTGACTGGGAAATCTTAATGCATCCACCGTATAGTCCTGACATAACACCTTCAGACTATCATTTGTTTAGGTCTCTGCAAAACTCTCTTAATGGTGTAAAGCTGACTTCAAAAGAGACCTGTGAAAATCACTTGAAACAGTTTTTTGACCAGAAACCACAGAAGTTCTATCGCGATGGAATTATGGTTCTGCCTCAAAAATGGCAAAATATTATTGAAAATAATAGAGCATATTTGGTTTAAATAAATTGATTTTAATATTCTAAGAAAAACACTTGAATTTTACTAAAAAACCGCCACGAACTTTTTCCCATACCCAATATAATCCTAAAACCGCAAATTCAAATAGGTTTTACTAAATATCATTTGACGATGCATCACTCTAAATTATGTCGAAATTCCTTTTGTTCCAGATAATTGACAGAAAGAAATGGCAGAAGACGAGATATATGTACGTACATTGGCTACATTCGATACAAAATTTCCAGCAGACACCGTCGAGTGGTGTCCTGTAGAGCCATATCGAAATGTATTAACATGTGGAACATATGAATTAAATAAAAATGAACCTAACACAAAATCTACCTATAGACAAGGGCAAATCTTATTGTTGCGTATAACAAATGGTGGAGAGTTAGAATTGCTGCAACAAGTATGCACTTCAGCTATATTGGATATGAAATGGTTACATGTCACAGATATTATAGAAACTCGAATATTACTCGCAGTTGTCGATTCCATGGGATACTTACAAATTTATCAATTGAAAAACGATGGAAAAAGAATAGAATTTATTACTAAATTAAAAGTCAATAATGAGGAGAACGTGATGGCGTTATCTTTAGATTGGTCCAGAAGAAACAGTCCTGCCTCTGATCCTATCATTAATACAAATATTCTTGTGAGCGACAGTGCAGGACACATCTCTCGTTTTACGTGGGGTGAAGCGGGTGATCTGACGAAAGATTTTACATGGCCCGCTCACAAGTTCCATGCATGGATTGTCGCCTTTGATTATTGCAATCCATTAATTTTTTATTCTGGTACGACGATATATGATTTATGTGAAAGTGAATCTATATAGATTTTAGGCATACTTTGGAATGCAGCCTATTTATATGATATATTTTGCTTAATTTATAAATAACAATTTTTTGCGGTTAGGCGTATTAGTATGCGTTGGTGCATATACTCTGATTTAATCTAAGTGTAAAAGTGATATGCAAATATTTTGAATTATAAAATACATATTTTATCAAACAGCACAATAAAGTGTTCCGACGATTTTGCAGCTCAACACATTTCTATATTTATATTAAACACACACCTTTATGTTAATTTGTGTGCGTGCATGTGCGCGCGTGAACTGACAACGCACTTAGTCGAATTTATTATTTAGAATAGTATAACTCAATTGAATAAGAAAACTCAATAAGTTTTTTTATAAATTAATTTATGGTAAATTTCAGGAGGCGATGACAATAGATTCTTATGTTTTGATAGCAGAACTGGATCTCATCCTGTAGTTGAAAATAAGAAGCATATTGCCGGTGTTACTAGCATCCATAGTAAAAAATTCTTACTCGCAACCGGAAGGTAAAAAGATTTTCGATAATCACTTTGCATTCTCTTTCAAGAAAATAAAAGTTTAAAAACTCAAAGATCTCCATATTCAATTTTTCGTACGCGCGTGAAACCTTATGATTTTTATAATAAATTTTTTTTTTCTTTATTTATACATTACTAAAATTAAAGAAATTCAATTTACATATTTTATCTTCTATGATTGCAAAATTTATTTGATAAACTTTTCTTTAAACGATCAATATGCACTTAAATATTTCAGTTACGATCAGAATGTAAGATTGTGGGATAAGAGAAATTTCGCTCGGCCAATATCGACACTTTGTCTCGATGGTGGAGTCTGGCGTTTAAAATGGGATCCGTTTACTCATCAATATCTGCTCGCCGCCTGTATGCACAATGGTTTCAAGATCATTAATCATGATATATTATCATCTGTTGTTGTCAATTATAAAGAACACAAAGGTTTATCGTATGGCTGTGACTGGTCATTCTTAAAACAGTCGGATATTTCGAATTTAAACATATCTAATGGAGATACCTTGATGAGCACTTGTTCCTATGAAGATTGTCTCCTTAAAGTATCTGTAATTGATTTTTGGCCGGATAAACGTATTGAGGAAAAAGATTATTAATATGGATAAGATGAAGGATATTCCTGAATAAACATTATAGCAATTTTAGAAACATGAATTAGATATGTTTCATAATTTATATATGCTTATTTATATAGAAACCAGCGATTCAGTATTTATTAAAGTAATTATAGAATGACAAATAAAAAAAATGATTCGAAGACTATAGATTTTTCTAATAAACATCAATAATTCGATGTTTATTAAATTTGATGATATAGGAATTCAGAATGCACTTACAACGATGTTAGCGCGTTAACATGCTACAATTTACGTTACGCATTTACATTTACTAAAAATTGTAGAGATAAAAGTGTGTTTTTATTGATTAAAGCGTGTTCTGAATACAGGTCATAAATAAATTTATAAGGAGAACTTTGTGCAATATGCTGTCGTCTGAAATATATATAAAAATTATGAACATATAAATATCCAGAAAGTCTTGTTCTTTAAACATAATAATCTTAGATTTGTCTAAGCTTCTTTACCCCGGATCTACAATAGATTTTTAAACCTTAAGCCATAAGGAATGGATGAATCACAATCAATTATTCTCTTCGCATTCGGCTGTAGTTAATCAATTTCTTATGGCTTTCTTAAAGTTTAAACACCTATTGGGTGCTTTCCATTTGATGATACAAGTTGACAGAAGCGTCATTCTATCCTTGTTGACATTCAGAGAGTGACAAAGATAGAACGACATTTGTGTCGACTTGTGCTAACCTGTGTCATCAAATGGAAAGCACCCAGATCCGGACTTCTGAATAATGTAATGCGTGATCTACAATGTAGTAGTAGTGGATGAAGTTGTAAGAGTAAGAAATTGATCAATCACAGTCGATTATTCTTCTCACATTCAACTGTGATTGATTGGTTAATTTGTTATTCTTATAACTTAGACCACGCATAAGAAATAAGCGACAACACAAGAAAAATACCAGGTCGCTCCGGGATTCGAAGTGCCCTGATATTTTTCTCGTGTGTCACTTATTTCTTAAGCTTTTTACAAAACAAACTACTACTTAAGTTTTAAGTCTTAAATCATAAGACTAACTAATCATAATTACTTACATTCCAAAACTTCCTCTTCGAGAAGTTTTACTCTTTGACATAAAATTTTTACATTTTTTTTTTTTTGAAAGTACAATCTTTAAGAATATGTAAAAAAAATCGATTTTTTTTATCCAACAAGATAGAAATCCTACTTAATTTTTGAGCTGAGCAAATAAAAGACACATATTTGAGGTTAAACTTCAATAATATATGCTGTTGCCGTTATTCCTTTTCATGCGTAGTAAATGCAGCGGAAGCAATTATGAAAAATTGAAGTAACATTCATGCAATTGGGACTAAAACGTGAACTTAAGCCGATGAGCCAATCAGGATACTGCTTTAGATTTGCATACTCTAACGGAAATAGAAATAGCAGTAAACATATCCATAAGGCGAGTTTCAACTGAAATTCACCTTATTGCGAGGTTATAGATAAGTTTACTGTTATTTACATTTCCGTTAGATTACATAGACCCAAAGCAATATCCTGATTGGTTTATCGGCTTAAGTTTACGTCTTACGATTACTGTTGTGGAATTTTGTGTATGGCAGCCCTAATTCCTGAACGCAAAGATATCTTGTTACTGGCAATTTTTAATTCTTGTGTACGGAAAAAAATTGCGGTATAGCGCGGCAGAGTATTCCGCTGCTTAAGGTCTGTAGTTTTAGATATACTTCTTCTTCTGAAATCGACCATGGGGTACTCAAGGGTTCTTCCTTTTATCTGATGAATTTATTCAGTGTAACTATTAATTTTTTTATTTAGTTTACATTGTTCACTCCGGCCTAGCTGCAAGCTATCATAGAGACTGCAACTTGTGCCACAGTATAAGTAAACTCGGATTCTCATACGGACAACAGCCCTTTGCAGACACCGAATGCAGATTGGTGAAAAGCCGGTTGTGGGGATAAAATTTACCCCCATCGCCCGTTTTTTACCAATTAGCGTTCGGTGTCAGAGCGCTGTTGCTTATTGTATATTCGTCGAGGTTAAGTTAGCCCGGACCCTCATACGGGCAACAGCACTCTAAGAAGACTGAAGGCTGATTGGTGAAAAGCGGATGAAATTGGGGGTAAATTTTACTCTCACAACCGACTTTTCACAAATCAGCGCTCTGTGTCAAAGCGCTGTTGCCTGTATGAGGATCCGGGCTTAATGTAGGGGATTCTGTTTTCAATCACCAACCAAATTTTTCTCTATAATTAAAATTTTTAAGATTTTGTAAAGTATTTATAATGTAAATTTTTAATTTTCTCGTAATGAATAACAGAACGCAATCTCAATTGCAGTCTCTATGATAGCTTGCAGTTAGCCCGGAGTGAACAATGTAAACTAGATAAAAAAATTAATAGTTACACTGAGTAAATTAATCAGATAAAAGGAAGAATCCTTGAGTATTTCATGGTCGAAAAAGAAGCATATCTACATATAATACGGACCTTAAGCGTCTGCAGCGAAATACCCTGCCGCGCTATACCGTAATAGTAACTTTTTTCCGTATACGGAAATTAAAAATTGCCAGTAACAAGATACCTCTGACTTTTACATTTATAATGAAATCAATACACAAGTTGAACTTCACAGAAACTTTGAAAAATTAAAAATGATACACAAGCAAGAATTACGTTCATTCCAGCCTAGTGGCAAACCAGCAGCAGAGATTAAAATTAAGATTGATTCATTATGATAAAATTTGAAATTCACACATTACGTATGTACGTTTACTCTACGAAATTCTAAGAGAGAAAAATTTGGTGCCACTCGAGAACAGAATCCCCTCAAACATTAACCTAACTTTGACGAATATTAAACGCTATCAACGCTACACTAAAGTCGTTCACGGATCTGTAACGCTTAACGCTACCAATACACTACCTTGGAAGGAATAGCGTTGATAGTGTGCAGTTGTGACGTAATACGCTATAGCGTCAGTTATAAACAAATACAATGCATTGTAGTCATCTTACATACAGGTCTCCAAGAGACACAGCAATAAATCGTACGTCATACGCCAAAGCTTGTGCGTTACGTCTACAACTTAAGCTAAGTAAGTGTTACGACAATTCTTGTGCTCAAATAAGTTCAAACCCTTATAAGTAACACCACCAGATAATATTAAAGACCGTCAACCCTGGGCAAATTTTCGGCGAGTAAAAAGAGTCCAAAGATAATTGAAGAATGCTGACATTATCGACAATTAATATAAATTTATTACCCAGTAAACGAGAATGAACTAAAATGGATTGAAATTTTTTCTATCCGAGTATTTTAAATAGCGTATTTTAAATAGCGAATACTTTTTTAGATTTAATTGGATTCAATTAAATTCAATTGGATGCAATTGGATTGAAAAATTGCATTTTCTATTCAAAATTTTGAATTGAACTACACAATGTATGTGCACAGAAAAAGCTAATATTATTTTTAGATTGAAAAATCTAATTTACTACTGTGGGCAAAAAGTATCGATAATTTGTTTGTTTTTCAAAAATTCTTTATTTATTCATCCACATTCGTATCATCCCCCTCAAAGTAGTCCCCCCCGGTTGCAATGCAACTGTGCCAACGCTTTTTCCAATTTTCGAAACATGCCGCATAGTCGTCTGTAGGTATGGCCCGCAGCTCACTCGTCGTTTTTTCTTTTATCTCTTCAATCGTCTCGAAACGGTGTCCACGGAGTGGCCTTTTGAGTTTTGAGAACAGCCAGAAGTCAGATGGTGCTAAGTCAGGCGAATACGGTGGTTGTGGAATGATATGAGTTGAGTTTTTGGCGAAATGGTCACGAACTACGAGTGATGTGTGCGACGGCGCATTATCGTGGTGAAGGAGCCAAGAGTTGTCGGCCCACAATTCTGGTCTTTTTCGGCGCACGGCATCACGCAAACGACGCATAACACCCAAATAGTATTGGCTGTTGACAGTTTGGCCGGTCGGAAGATATTCAAAGTGAACCACACCACGATAGTCGAAGAAAACTGTCAGCATCACCTTGATTTTCGACTTGTTTTGGCGCGATTTTTTTGGTTTCGGCTCACCTTTGACACGGTATTCAGCTGATTGGTCAGTTTCCGGATCGTATGCGTAAATCCAACTCTCATCTCCAGTTATGATGTTTTTCATTCGGTTTTGATAGTCGGAAAGCATCGTTTCAGACACATCAACGCGTCGTTGTTTTTCCAAAAAATTGAGCGATTTTGGCACCAATCGCGCTTTCACTTTTCGGAGGCCCAAATGGTCGCTCAAAATGGTTTTGACTGATCCTTCCGATATGCCAACAAGATCAGTAAGGTCTCGGACAGTCAATCGACGATTTTCGAGCACCAAATCTCGGATTTTTTGGACGTGAATCACATCAGTTGATGTGGATGGCCGTCCGGCACGTGGCTCGTCTTGAACGCTCTCTCGGCCCTCTTTAAACATTCTGTGCCATGCAAAAACTCTTGCTTGTGACAAAGCGCCATCACCGTACGCCTTCTGACACATTCTCAACGTTTCGGCTGCAGAAATTCCATTCCGGACACAAAATTTTATCGCACTTCGTTGTTCCATAACTTCAGACATTTCAAAAAACGACAAATCACTTTTTACGTGCTTACAAACAGACGCTTATCTCAAACACTAATGACTATTTTGACGTGTACCTTGGCGCAGCTGTCACTGACAGAATTGCCAACTTCAAAATAAATTCGGTTGTCCCTATCGGAAACCCCGGGAAATTTAAATTTGAAATTATCGATACTTTTTGCCCACAGTAGTAGAGATATGCTCCATGCAATTTCTATAAATGAATAAAAATGCGTTCAATATTGAAAAGCATTCATTTTAACATTTGTGAATCAATATTTCTGAAAATCTAAATTCATTTGAATCCATTTCAATTTATTTCAATTCATTTCAATCCATTCTCGTTTCCAGAATATTAACATAAATATGGTGTTGATGGTCAACACATCTAGTGACAAAAAACCGCAGATACTTTTTATATGACCCAATATTTGCCTCATGCATTATTAAATTCATGATTTTTTATTATATAAATGTTCCATAAATGAATATGTTTACTTGTAAAGCTAATATTCTATATATTGCAGAAAAATTACAATTTTTTTTCTATAGTTATCATCTTCGTTGATAATCAAACTTTGACGATAGTACTGAAATCACAATTATAAAGAAAAATCGAGTATTATTGAGTTCTAAATGCATAAATACGTCTACTAAACTAATAAATCATAAAATTAATACAATATTATTTCAACTCTTAATCACTTCAATATTCTCAAGGACGCAAACTCTCTAAGGGTGAAATCACACGGTCCGAAATAGGACTGCGGAATACAGAATGCGTCATTGAAGCAACCAATCAGCGCTATTCCGCACTTTTCCATCACGCAAGTTTTGCGTGCTATGTTCACATGATGCGTTAAAGATGTATCCAGTTAATTTCATGTTAATAATTTGCTTATTAAAATGAAATATAATTTTTCAAATTGTAAAAACAATTATCACTGTTGTAGTATTTAATGTTTTACAATTAATATTTATAATCTCATAACAGTTTTTTGAATTGCTTAACGCATTTACTATCATTTTTTCGCATCGTGTGAACATAGCACACAAAACTGGCGTGATAGAAAAGTGCGGAAAAGGGGCACACTGAAATCGCACGTAATGCATCATTGTTTTTTTGATCTTAGTATCTATATTTATGCACTCAGATTTTGTCATTTTACTTCATTCGTCTCGAATTACGCAATTCCATTATATTAATCAGCATCAAATTATTTTAACCTCTCAAAATATGACAGTTTATTACAAGAACAATGACGCACATCAAATGCGGAATAGCGCTGAGTGGTTGCTTCAATGACGCATTCTCTATTCCGCAGTCCTATTCCGCACTGTGTGATTTCACCCTAACGATGTCGGTTTTTTAATAGTACCTCGTCGGTGGTAGCACACTCGCGTCGCTCGCTATCGAAGTCGAATCATTTTCGATTCGATTTTTTCGTAAAAAAATCGATCTGCAAATTTAACCGAGACATGACAATCGATCCAAAAAATCGAAAATCGAGATTGAAAAGATCGATCTTAATCTCCCATCGCCTACCTCTAGTATCGCGAGATGGCAGGTCGAGCGCGGCGCGAGTCGCATTTCACCGCTGACCGCGGACGGTGGACGGTTCGATAAAAATCAGTCGTCGATCGGCGTTAGTCGGTGTTGGTCGGCGTCGTTTAGCAATTTCGATATCGTTCGGCGTTACAGCCCATCGTCGCTCAATTACTCGGTAACTTGTTAGTTTCATCTGGCCTCGTTCAACTTCGTTCGATCGGGAGGCCATTCCGTGCGTTTCTCTCTCTCAACAACAAGCGTTGTATCGCAGACAACGGCTTCAAAAACACTGCTTGTCGCAATCGTACCCGCGATCACGATCCTCGGAATCCGGAGTGAGACGGTGAGTAGCAGCCGAATCCCGACAAAGTGAAGTCGCGAGCCTCCTCAAGCATCCTCAAGGCGGCTTCTCGCCGAGTCTCCCTCCCGCGAAAAGCGCGCCGGATCAGCTGGTTCTGTCACCATGGAATAGCGACTAAGCGACTAAGCGACCTAGAAGCGATTCGGCGCGTGTCTTCGAGTGTGATTCACCTACCGCGAGATCCGGAAGATGCAGTTCCGACCGGTCGAACGAGTCGGTTAAGCCCATAATTTATAAGCCGCGGCTGATGCTTATTCGCGTCACGTCACGTCGCGTCGCGTCGCGTTTCCCTCTCTCTTAACGAGCCCCCTTGATTTGGGGCGGTGCGCCCCAAATCGCACGATCTCCATCTCCAAGGAACAAAATTGCTCGCGGAAGCACATCTTGTACAGGATCCGTGTGTTTTGCCCTTCTCGTGATTACGAAGCGGATCAGCGGATATCAGGCCAAAGGATCCTGGATTTTACCGCATGTGACGTTATCAGTAACCAGCACTGCAAATTCGCTGCTCTTCCGGTACTCCGCTTAGTCGTTGATTTTTTTTTCTTCTTTATTGTTTCCCTTTACTAAGTATAATGTCCGTTTTTATAAGGGCGGACAATAAAACTGCGAGAAAACAGGTACTTAGGCTGTGCCCCCTTTCCCTTTAAATTACACTATGGATTGAGAATGAAAGATTAGAATTCAGCTAATTAAAACGAAATGGATTAAAATTAAAATTATCTGACCGATCGAATTCTAATCTCTAATTCGCAATCCTTAGTCTCCAATGCGTATGTGAGAGGCGCGTTTGCGCTTTTGCGCTTTTTCTCTCTCTCTACGTAGTCTTAATAATTGACGCGGATTCGCGCCGTTCGCGGAATTTCTAACGCAGCGCTCGAAGGACTCCGAGTGGAATCTTTCACGGGCTTCATACCTTTTTACGTTGATCGTTTAATTCGGTTCGCCGCTAAATTACACTAGAAAAAGAGTGATGATTATACTAATTAGAATTCTGGTTGAAAATTGAGGAATCAGAATTTTATAGTTGAATTTATTATACATAATTTTATTATAATTCTAGTTGAGATAACCAGAATTCTGATTGACGTAATCAGAATTGATCTGGTTCGTCCATTTTCAACTAGCAATTTTTCTCAATGTACATTTTTACACGTTTCCTATATCCGTTGGGCTGCGTTCGAAAACACCGAGTGGCCTTATAGCTCATTTTATCCTTGTTCACTGTATGTTAAACGAGGATAAGATAATACATGAGATCGTTCGAGTGCAGGTATTTCCGAATGTAGACTTGGAAAAGCAAGTCTAATCAGATGTTTTTTTTTTCCATTTAGCAACGTCCGGAGAACCTCCGAAATTCCACCTGTAAAATATATACAGGGCTGGATACGTATTTAAATTACTTTTATTTAAAACAGTTTTTTATTTCAGTGAATCACATAAAAGTGATTACGTATTTTGTATTTAAAACTGAAAGATTAAAAGTTTTTTTTGTATTTCGTAATTTAAATAATAAGATTGATTGTCAATCTTACGACAGTATTTGAAATACAAAATATTTTCATGTGTTCCGCTGAAATACAAAATACAAAATACACTTGTATTTGCAAAAACTGTGTTTTATTAAAAGTATTTGAAATGCCTTGCCCTGTGAATATATAGAGGGTAGTGTACGAAATGTCATACTATTTAATTGTGCAATTTTCAGGCTTTAGTGATTAATAAATACACTAGTTCTATATTACTTGGGTATCAATTTTGTTAAAAACAAATATATTATACAAATCAATTAGTATGACATTTCATGTACATATTTAAATGTATAGATATATAGTAGATATTTTCACACATTTTCTTTTTCTTCTTGAAAAAATCGAAGCAAGAAATATTTCCTTCCATCTCTAGTAGTATTTGGAGAACCTATTTCACTTGTAAATTACGTAATTTATATAATTCAATACATAATTTAATTTATTAAAACGCGTATGTGCAGCTATGTACGTAATTCGTCTGGGGTCTCAGGATGCTTCAAAATTGATTTCCGCCTGGTAGAACGATCGCAAAACTTATTCTCGATTATCTCGTTACAGCGCTGTCCTCGGCGCGATGGCGAGACGAGTGAATATCAGCGCGCGAATCAGCCTCCCCGTCGATCGTCAATAGAGAGGATCCAGTTGCGGTGCAGGGGCGTTGTCCCTTCCCCCCCCCCCCCCTCCCCCTCCCCCGCCATCTCCCGGTGCACCGCCCTCCCCC